ATACTTACAAAACCTTGAGATGGAAAAGACCGTTGAAGACGTTTGACGGGAGATATTTCAGGATGTTACTTTGCAAGTTTCTGAAAAGATTAATGAAAAAATATCCCAAGTTCAAAATATGAGTAATTCACCTTCATCTCTCTGTTTGACCTGATCTTTTAGCAAATGTATTTTTGGTTAATCTCAGATTCTAAGTTGGAGCTCTTTATATAACTTGTAAAGCGTCGAGATGCTTTTACATCTTAACACGTTAACATGTTATTCAGAGTAAAATTCATTACCCTTCATTTGGCGCATTAACTATAATGCAAGAAGGTATTAGTTGTAAACTATGTTTGAGCAACCAAGATATACATATCTAGGTTAACTCAAATGTTTGCCTCTTTAGATATAAACACTGAATGAAATAATAATTTCAAACATATATATGAGCAACCAAAAGATACATATCTACATTAATTCGAGTTTTTGCCTGTTTTGAAATATAAACCGAATATGCAAACCTTATTTTAACAACCAAGAGATACGTATGTACATTAACTCGAATGTTTGCATGTTTAGAAACAAATAGTGAACTACATTTTACCAACCAAAAGATACACATCAACAACTAAATGATTTAGAAAATACACAGATAAAAAAATAAATAAAAGCAAAAATATATCTTCACAACCATAAGTATTGGATATCTTCACCGGATAACGTTTTCGAAGCAGCCTACCAAACTCTTGCTATAGCATAACACATGTATATTTGGAATTTATAAAACTCTAATTAACTACTTTTATTTGGCATTAATTAAATATATACACTCGATTGCACTTGAGAATATCATGAATAATTTAATTTTTTCAAACGTTTGAATTATCACTAGTATCCTTCACAGTGCCAGTTTGACGCATACAGTGAAATGTGTGTGTACATAGAGCTTTAGAACTGTCAGGAATTCCAGCTTAATTGCTTTCGAATAGTGACATAAAAATTCTGTAGAAAGATCTTACATAGACAGCGGGGAAAGCGAGATCGGAATGACGCTTATTCTTTTTATTCTTTTATTAGTGGCTGTGTTTTTTTATTTATTGCTTTATCGTAGTTAAAGAATGTTTAATGTTTTGAGAATTTAGCAAAGTTTTGCACATTTCCTCTACATAGTTTTGTTTCTCTTTAGGTTCTTAATGAAAACCATAATAAAATGTAAGCTGTGAATATTGGATGGCATATCTCATAATCATATGTTTTATAAGTACATTCAAATTAGAAACGTTACAGCTTACTAATTTTAATCCTGTTGCTTCCTCATTTTTACTTTTTTACTTTTCACTTTCATGGGAACATTTAAATATGACAATTACATATTAAGCTGGAATAAATTCAAATATTGTAATTTTAAATTTTATTATAATTTCAAAGCTAGCTTACAATTCTATAAAAGCTCTTCGACTGTTTTTACAGTGTTTGTAGTTATTTCTTTCAGACCTTAAGAGTCTTAGTGATTAGCGTGTCCGGAATATGAATCCGACGATTCACAGTTCGTGACCCGATGTCACTTTGGGGCTGTTGGTTCACTTTCAGAGCAATTGTCAAATCCTAATATTCGATCAAACAAGAGTATCCAAGGATATGGCGGTGGTTGCTTTTGACTAGCTTTTTTTTCGTCTAGTCGTTCAGTTTAAAATAAGGATGGCTATGCACAGATAGCCCTCGAGTAACTTTGTGCGAAATCCTTAAAAAATATATTGGGTTCGGTCAGCACATAGCTTGGCATGGCCCGGTGGTTAGAACGCTCTACTTGCAATCTCCTTCGAATCCCAGCACCAAATATGCTCATCCTTTCAGCCGTGGGGGCGTTATAACGTGACGATCAATCCCACTATTTAATTAGACTAGCCCAAGAGTTTACGGTGGGTGATGTTAACTATCTGCCTTCCCTGTAATTTACCACTTCTAAATTAGGGACGGATAGTGCAGTTAGCCCTTAAGTATTTTTGTGCGAAATTAAACAAATAAAGAAATGGTCTGCACAATCCTACTTATTCGACTTGGAAGGCTGGAACTTACTTGCTTAGCGTAGCTGCACAGAATATTTATTATCTTTGTAATTAACGTTATGAAGTAGTCCTAAGAGCGAGAGTTTTCTGTCAACAAGCCTTTTAAAAAAATATTTTACGAGAGTTAAATAGTTTATAAAATAACAAGCCCGTTGAAATAGTTGAACAATTAAGAATTATTCAACGCATCTACTTTCCTACACTTGAACCTTATTTATATGAGAGTTCGTGATTCCAGAATAACGTATAAAACAGTTGAGTACTTTTCGTAGCCTTGCACGCCCCTTTAAAATTAATTATTTGTTTGGATAAAAAACGTCTTTGAGAAAAATACGATAACGGCCCTAGTTATAGAAATATCAATAGAGTATAAATCAATGTGTATTACGATATTAAATATTTGTTATGTTGTTTTTAGAATGATCTCATTCTTAAATATTAGCTATAAATATTAATCTATAGCTTATATCACCTCATCCAGTTCTTGGTTTATGACCAGTTTTAAATGGATTAAGTCAACAATCAATTAAAGGATATTAAAATCACGCAGCAAAGAATGTTTAAAAGTAAGCTTACTTTCGATTATCAGAGTCTAATATTTTAGCAAAGTTTGCTACTAAATCAATCTAGATTCGATTACCCAATAAATTTAACTCAAACGTCTCTACACCTCCATGTTTGACTCCGTGCGTTGGCCACTTTTCTGTTTGTAATGTGTTTAGTCAAAGATTTCGTGACTTTCTTACATATTAATTTATTTCTTACTTATATATATATTATCGTGAATGTTTTAATAATAAACAGTATTTATTTTTACATAACGTAGTCATCAGAAGTACGATGAAAAATAGCTATATGTTTTTCAATTATCGTGAAAACACGAATAAAGATTAAAGTATTTATTTAGACTCAAACAAAAGAAGTATTAAGTAGTTCTATTTTTAGCTTTCATCATTTAGCCTGCCTTTGTTTGGTTTTAATTCGTTTTGAGTTTTGCTTGTTTAATTTCGCACAAAAATACTCAAGGGCAAACTGCACTATCCGTCCGTAATTTAGAAGTGGTAGATTACAGGGAAAGACAGCTAGTTAACATCACCCACCGTCAACTCTTGGGCTAGTCTAATTAAATAGTGGGATTGACCGTCATATATAACGCCCCACGCCTGAAAAGACGAGCATGTTCGGTGTGACGGGGATTCGAATCCGCGACCCTCATATTGCGAGTCAAGCTCTCTAACCACCTGGCCATGCCGGGCCGAAGTTCTGGCACTAAATAGTTACATAATTTCGGTTTCTTATCAAAACTGAACTTTGTGCCTCAATGAAACGTCTCTTAGTGGCTCAGCCGTAAGATTAAGGAATTATAAAGCCAGAATTCGTGGTATGAGCCCTGCGATGAGTAAAATCAGATAGTTAATTGGGTAGTTTTTGATTAAACGAAACAACTAAACAAATCAAAATAAACATTGAAAACGCATTTATTAAAAAATTGTGCAATAAACGTTTTGGTGTTATAATTTTACACACCAGTAAGAAGCATATTGTAAATAATATTGGCTTGACGTCAAAACTTTTAAATTGTAAGATGACAACATTTGAAAGAACAAGTAATATGTGTTTTTGGTTGTGTAGAAGTAAAATGCAGCTGGCACTAAAATCAGTTGAATATACATATGTATGTGAATTATGAATCTTTGAAATCATTGTACATAAATTCAAGCATATCACCAACTTCAATTAATATTTGTAGTTAAAAACAAAACAAAAACACTTTCACAGGAATACACCCCTGATACGATGGTAAATTATATAACGGAATCTTTATACTTACAGGTCTTCTAAAAGTGGAAGATGACGAAATGCAAAGTTTGGTAGTTCACTAATGTAGTTGGAGCTCAGATCCCTGAAACAAAAGAAAACCATTTTTCAAAGTTACTGAGAGCTGGCAAAACATGAGATACTATACGCCTATCATTTGTGAAAAGAGTTAATCATGTAAACTGAAGGATATTTCACCTTTCTCTTAATTTATTCTTTTCGGTTTTCAAATAAGAGGTAAGTAAAGATAACATTTCAGTCTCCCACAGCACAAGTCTAAGTAGGCCTTTCGTTCAACACTCAAACTCGTCAACTGAGCCTGACGATGAGATATAAATGCTAATCTGAAACGCTATTTATATATACATCACAACGATTTCAAAGTTACGGTTTAAACCAAAACTTGGCCAGGCATTAGAAACCCATAGCCTTAACCTCTGTAATAAAAGTCACGTAAATTACTTCTCCAGCTATTGGCGTTTAAACAGTAATCTTGAATAGAGGAGAGATTAAAAAGGAAACGTATAATTTGTCTTTTATTTTTGTTACTTCTCTTTTGTGTTTCTGGTTTAGTTAGTTATTGATTTTAATGCGAGTTTTTTTTTTTTGCTTTATCTCCTTAATGGTTAAAAATAATGGGACACATTCTGGATCTATAATTAGGTGTTTATCTTAAGGATAATCTTCCATGAGAAAAAGTAAGTTTGAAGATCAGAATTTGTATATGTGAAGGAATTTAAATTAGCAACTCCATAATGTTACTAACCAAGCTTTCAAAATAAATCCAATATACTTAATATGGAGCAAAGTTGTTTTTGCTTTTTACTATATATGGGTTGACGCAGGTTAAATATCTTATAAATTTTAGTTGTCCATAATATGTTATTTATCAAAGTCAATAGACATTTATATAAATTATTGAATATTGGAAAGCATTAACGGTAAAGAACTTTCAAACATTGCCATCAGCCAGTTGTGGACTATTACCTAAAAGTCGATAAGTTCACTGTTTAATTAAATGAGGTTCTCCAACATATATAAAACACGTTTTAAAACTGTGTACGTGAAAATATTTGTAAGATGCACAAGCATGCAAAGGATCACATTAACCTCGTAATTACGTGGTGGTTACAACTTCACAATGTTCCTACCCATATTGCTGAACTGTTATATATTTATCAACGTTTAGCATCTCTAAATCTCTTTCAAAAACATCAATTGTAAAACAATCTAACAGGTACACAATTCCTGGACTGAAATCATGTAAATTCCTGATTTGTATTAAGTAACTTATTTGGACTATCACCATGTTTTTTTTAGTTTTTTTACTGCACAAGCTTTCGGCCCAATTACCTAAGCCTTAAACGTCTCGAACCATTAAAAAAGCCCTCGTGTAGCTTTGCGCAAATTTACAAAAAAAAAAGAAAAAAAATGTAATTGTAAAAAAACGCTATAACGCCCATAAAAATTGCAAAGCACAAAATTGTAAACCCGCAGATTTGCATGTATCTCCACATGGACCCAACAAACCTTCATGCCATATTTGGTGAAGATCAATCGAGGGGGGGCGAAATAGTGGTACAAAACGTAAAAACGCCCATAAAAACCTCAAAACGCAAATTGCAAAATTGAAAATTTGTATGTAACTCCGCATGAACCTAATGAACCTCCATATCAATTTTGGTGAAGATCCACCCACACCCTGCAAAGTAGATACCTGGACATACAACAGATAGTATTGTATATTTATATAGATGCTGGTGACGCTTCCGTGAGCCAGTATTACTAAAATTATGCGAAATTGAATGTAGTTATGCTTTTTACGTAAATCTGCAATAAATCCGTTTCAGTGAAAATTGATTTACATAGTTTTAAAAAGTTATAAATATTAATAAGTGCTTAAGTTCCTGAGTTACAAACGAATTTTAATATTAATCACATTGTAAGCTGTAAATTAGTTCTAAGTATCAGTTACCATTCCAGTTATAAACAAGTTATAAGTTTAACAACTCCGTTATATATATATGAATTTTCACTGTCAGCAGTTATACAAACAATAAAAGAAATTTCCAGTTCGAGGAAATCAATCAAATTATAAACATAATTGCAGCTATCGCCCATAATTTTCGAAGTAATCAAATTCTAAATGTTTGTTTCCATGTCGTTCCTTATTAACTTGCTAAACTATCTAACTGTAAAACCTTTTAAGATTATATTCAATATCTAAAAGCAAAAACTAGGCAGATAAGAGGCACAACAAGCATGCTATATTTAAGATTTAATTTTTTGTATTCACCTTAAACTAAACGAGTATATTTTTGTAAGAATTATTATAGGTTTCTAATCACAGGAAATATATTTGGTTAATATTATTCATATATATGTATAACATACAGAATGATTCAGATATACAGTACATTGATGGGTAAATAATTCAAAATGAGCAGGCATAGGAAAACAATTATTGGTGTTTTAGAATAAGATGCCATGCGCCTACCTTATGACAACATCACTGAGATCAGTTAAGGTGCTTTTCCGGACTATGCAATTCGGAAATATTATTAACATGCATCATACATCTAAAACGTCTATCCCAAAGTGTAGACAATAATAAAAAAAAACATTGTAAACTAAACATTACCAAAACTTCTCATGAAGAAGGCATAAATTCTCCTTTTTAATGCATTCATGATGTTAGAAAAACACGTAGGTTCAAGAAGCCTTGATAGAAATGAATAAAAACCCTATAACCCGAGCGCTTTCGAAAGGTGGACCTTTCTTCTTCAGGGTCAAACTGGGAAAGTAAAGGTTGTTACAAGAAACCTATGTTTGACATATAAAATCTGACTTTTTGAGTAAGCAGATCTTTGCACCTTTGAATGGTCGAAAAAGATTACTTCCAAGTCATCTAAATACAGTACAGTATTAAGTTGAATAACAGTTTATTATGGTTATACTGTATGAAGAATGTCACAAGAATACCCTGAAAACTACCAGATTATATGCTGAACAGTCCCGAAATTTAAGCCATCATTCACATCAGATGATAGGAAATTCATGATGTCAGAAAAAACAACAACATAGGTACAAGAAGTCTTAATATAAAACGATAAAAACCATATTTTATATTGTTTTAGATGATAGGAAATGTTTATCAGCGACGGCTGCGTACTACAGGCTCAATTGTGAGAAAACATACGCCGTTCAGGCATACCAGCAACCGCAACTAATTTTGAAAATGAAGCCATCTTACTGGTCCTTGTCACATTTGAGTAGAACTTTAAACAGAGCTATTGAATGTTTGCCATCATTTTATAACACTGTTAGGTAGGCTACTTACCTCATCCACATTTATATATATATATACATATATATATTACTGTTGTTGTGGAGCGATTTGGGTAATTTGTGGTTTAGAAGGTTTCATTTTTTATTGTCAACAACTTTTCAATTGATATATTTCGTATATAATTCATATGAATAACATTTTTGAAGGATCTGGCTTTGATGTTACCCTTTAATGACCCCAGTGATATTGTCTCAGGTTAGGCCTACAACACCTCATTCCATACAACTAACAATTGTTTTCCCATATCGTCATTTTGTCTGGTGGTTAAGACTCGACTCGCAATTTGCGGGATCGAAACTCTTCGTCAAACATGTTCGCCCATCAGCCGTGGGGAGGTTATGCTGTAAAAGTCAATCTCACTACAAAATGATAAAAACCCTATAACCCGAGCGCTTTCGACTTCAGTTTGTTTCGATATGGCTCATTAAAACGTTGACCCCTCATTGAACTTTCACCTCTAGCCTCGAGCAGAGTGAAGAAGGATTGCTAATCTTCGAGCACCCCTGATTATTAATTATTTCTCCTGAAATAATTAAGTTTAAATCAAAATAACTGCCAGAAATATGTGTGCGCTTTCGACAGGTGGAACTTTCTTCTTCAGGGGCAAATTGGGAATGGTGATGTAATCGAATGAGTAATATATAAAGGGAATTGAGGAACGTCATGAAGGTTATCTGGTATTCCAATAAATGTTTAGTATATTTTTCCATGTACTGTTGTAAGTATGTTCCATTTCTAGTAGAATGTAGCCAGCAACGAGAGGTTACATAAAAAGGTGTCAGGGATATTTTGCTTTAGAAATGGCTAAAAAAGAAAAAATTAAACTATACTTAAGCGTTTATGTAAATTATAGTTGACATCTGGAGACTGATTCAAAAAGAGATGTTAAGCTAATTGATTTATACGAACAGGTATGGAAAATTATCTGAAATAAATAGTAAGTTTTAGGAAAATTACAGTTCACGCTACATGAAAGAAAGGATAAAAGGATAAAAATTATTTTTCTGACAAAGATGAAACCAATGATCAGAGATCACTGATTCCAAGATCTAGATTGATTCTACTAATATGAACAGTAATTTGAGTTTAGATTAGCGATCCAATAAACTTCTTTTATTTCTCTATCAGCTTTAGTTTTGAATCCTGTTTGAATGCCGATGAGAGTAACATCGTTAATGGAATGACCGGGTTGGTTAAAGTGTTGAACAACAGGGAGATATTTTTCGCTGTTAATAGAAGATTTATTGTTGTTTAAACGTTCTCTAAGAGTTGTTTGTGTATGTCCTACATATTGATGATTGCATTTTTTGCACTGTATAAAGTAAATGGTGTTTTGTGTTCCACAAGTGAGTTCTTTGGTTGTGTTTGTCAGAAAATGAGTCAGTAGTTTTTATGAACTTGCAGGTTTGACAACAAGCTTTATTACATGGATAACAACTAATTTTTGGTGGGATGTGATTCACTTTTGTATGAACAAGAATATCTTTAAGAGTTCTGCTTTTTCGGAAGGAGACAACGGGAACTTCAGGACATATCTGTTTAAGGCGATCGTTAAGTTGTAGGAGATGTAATTTTTTTTTTTTTTTTTCAGTCGTGAAACGTTTCTGAGTTTAAAGTGATAGGTAATAATAAGAGGAATTCTATTTGAAGCCTTAGTTTTGCTCTGATTGAGGATGTTTTTCCGTTGAGAGTTGTTAGCCTTTTCGATCTGTCTTTCGGTTTCTTTGTATCCTCTT